AAGATTCTTGAACTTTAGTTTTTGTAACTAGTTATTAAAGACACATACATTTTTTCAAAGCTATTAGATCAGTTAAAGCAGTAATTACCGGTACACATTTTTTACGTGGAATTCTTCAAAGGCAGCAGCTGTAGCACTTCCTGTGTAGCAGCGTGCGACACTTTCGGCTGGAGTAACCACGCAATGTGAAACTGACGATAACGTAAAGGTTTAATTAATGACGTTTGCATGAATCTTTATGAAATTTAAGCTCGTTCAGTCCGGTCAAAATTGACTTCTGCTTCTACAAACAGGTGACGCAAAAATTCATCTACGGCAGGTAAAATACTTGTTCTTCAAAACCTTTCTACAGAACTCTGTTCCAACATGTCTCGATTATTTATTCAGCTTAATACAAAAGAAATGAAAAACCCACAAAAATATCAACAAATGAACTTGACAAGTAATTTAAACTCTGAAACATGTTAAAAAGTCTAAACAAAACGGCATTAGCCTGAGCTTGTTGGTCTATCTTTAATATTTGTTTTTGTTTATTACGTCACAGAGTTCATTTGGATCTCAACTCAAAGACTTCCCATTAGGGCTGAATCCTGCACAGAAAAGTTTGCATGATTTAATAAGAAACAGTCTTTTTGGAGTGAAACTAAGTCGCACATTTGGGTTATTTTGACATTAGAATGACCTTCCAGAAGGTAATGGAGAAAGATTATATGGTTGATTAGGAGCTGATGTAAGTGGGAATAAAAGAAGAAAAATATATATATATTTTCTGGAGGAACTAGGGGTCATTTTGTCCTGAAAGATTCCCGTCATAAACTGTCTGACTCTGCATTATTATCTATTTGCTTTCTCATCGGTACCTGGGGTGAAACAGTTCACTGTGCCTTTTCTCTCTCATTATCTGAACCATGAGGTTACTTGCACACATTACATAACTGCTGTCAAATAGGAGTCTTTCTGGCACACATCCCACAACTGATGTTCAATTTTAGCCTCTGGCCCTCAGAGCCCAAAGAGCGCCACTGACAGACACGCAGTCGTTCTCTAAACAAGCTTATAGCTGCAGGGTGGAAATAAAAAGAACCCCTGTCATTACAGCAGATCATAAAAACCCACACAAATACATTTTCCAAACTGTAGTTGTGTGCGCAGTAGCAAATACATGTTGCTATGAAGCATTCACATTTTTGGGGCTTTCTTTAGCTCGAGACGGCTGTGTGAAAACGCTTTTAGAGCTGGACTAAAATGCGACGCAAACGAAGATCAAAACGCTTTAAGAAAAAAGAAAAAGAACAATAGAAAAGAGAATTGGAAAAAGGAGGGAGGGAAGGAATCCCAAAAATCCATCAGCCTCGATGTCAAACGAGGACAAACGATGTGAAGAACGAATATGGACGAGTAGTCAAAGTCAAAACAGAAGTAAAGAATGAAAAAGGGAAAAGAATCCCATCGGTAAAGTTGGAAATTACAGGCTGCGAGTCTCTCAGGAGAGTCTTCTGGTCTTGGAGCTTGGCCCTGTCGAGGCCTGCCAGCCCACCGCCGCGAACGCAATCGAACAAAAGGGTCATTTAATGGAGGAGGAAAGAGGGGGAGGCAAGAATGGAGGGATAAAGGCAAAAGGGGGAAACACCGTACACAGGCATTTTTGAGCTGGCCCCATCTCAACATTCACAGCCAATGTGTAACACTCCCCCCCACCCATGCTGTCCCATTCTCTGCAGCCAGAGTCATATGGTGCCACTGTGGTGGCCTGCAAGCATCTCTACTCAAAATACACCCAGAAGACCCTCGTTTTTACAAAAGTGCCCGTCATTTTTATAATTCCAACACGGAAACTAACTGACTGTTCACTTCCATCTTAAGAATCTATAAAAACTGACTGTGGAGCCTCAACAGTTGCTGAAATCTCTGCAAAAAACAAACAACCCCTCACCACCCCCCCCCCCCCCCCCCCCCGACAAATTTTCTATAATGTCATAATTCATCGTCAATTCCCACCGTGGAGTTGAGTAATGTTTACCTCTAAACCCCAAGAGGTTTAACTCCAACACAACTTACAGTACAAACCATGTGAAAGCGAACAGCGCTACGTCAACAACAAGGCTCCCACTGTGGGAGGCCACTGCCACTTTTACTGATCCATAAAATCCACGTCGGTTTAAATTCCGCTTTATCTGATTAGACTGAAAGCATTTCACTAAAGAACCCATTTTCTGCAGACGGTGGTTCAAAGACGTTTTTGTTTTTATGGCGAAACGCCTCAACAGGTTTGTGAAGCATTGTTCAGCTGCAATGGACACCCCCCGTCCAACCCCGACCCAAAACAGGCTGGGGGAAAAAAACACTTCTTACAGAAGAAAAAGGAGGAAATACGACGACGTTACAGCGCTACAGTAGCACAGCAACTGCAGACAATTAAAACAGTTACTCATACTGTTGCAGAAGCCGTACTCAATATTTTAAAGAGTAGGAAGAGTTCCGTCCCAGCTCATTTTGTAACACTATGACCTGCTGATTTTAGTTTGTTTTCAAGAATTTCAGTTTATAGAAGAGGAAGATCAGTTGGATGATTAGTCGCTTTTTAAAGAATTGACTGTGTATGTGCGAATTAACGGACTGGGCTCAAGGATTTAGTTTTTAAAGCAGCATTATACTTCTGTTTGTATAAGTTTTTAATGTCCGAGATTTTTAGGCTGTCCGTTGTGGTGAAGAGGGAGATGAGCTTATAGGCGAAGCTTTGTTTATCAGTCAGCCTATGCTCCTACCTGGATGGGCGGGCCGGGTCTGGCTTTTGATTGCGTCAGAGGACGCAGGCGGCTGGCGATCTAATTATATGGCAACACGGCTTGCCATACAATCAAACTATATGGGAACATGGCTTGCCATACTTTCACCAGCCGCACAAGGTAATTTCACCGTGAGCTGACCGGCCTTGAAAGAGGTAAAATAAAGTTCAGTTAAGCTTAAGATGGACTATACTGCCAGAAAGCGATCCATCGCCCAAATGGACGTTCAGCCACTGAACTCAGCGGACGCGTACGTCCGACGACCCAAACAGGTGAGATCCCAAAGTATTCGACATGTCAGAGCAGGGTCCGTGTCTGAATAATGCAGAATGCAGGTGGAAAAAGGGATTTAATGTGCTGTGACGGCCATGAAAGGACAAACACCCCCCTCAGCTCCTATCTTCTGCCCCTTTTACTCAGCGGCGCGTACGCCGACCGTTTATGACTATATAAGCAGTCAAAGCTTAATTAAAAATGTTGGGGGGGGGGGGGGGGGGGGGGTGTCGGACCAGAAATTACTGTTAATTTGTCGGGTCCGGGTGGGGTTCGTAAATGATGGCTACGGGCTGGGTAGGATTTTTTGGGCCCGAATGAAACTCTTTCCTTTAGACATAGGGTGAGAACTTCAGTTATCCGGAAGAGACTCAGAGTAGAACCACTGCGCCGCCACATCGGGAGAAGCCAGTTGAGGTGGTTCGGGCATCAGGTAAGGATGACCCCTTGTTGCCTTGCTATGGAGGTGCTTTGGGCATGTAAGACTGGGAGGAGACCCAGGGGAAGACCCAGGACACGCTAGAGAGACTGTCTCTCGGTTGGCCTGGGAACACTTTGGGGTCCTCCCAGAAGAGCTGGAAGAAGTAGCTGTAGAAAGAGATGTCTGGGCCTCCATGCTCAAGCTGCTGCCCCCACGACCTGACTATGGAACAAGCGAAAGATAAGGCTGGACATATGGACAGCTAAGTGCTTGTCAATGTATGTTGTTCAATGATATTACAGTGTTCCCCTAGGTTACTTGACTTGGGAAGGCACTCGCCTCGGGGTGGGGTGGTGTTGGGTATTGGTTAGCGTAGTGCTACGTTAGTGCCAGCAGTTGTTGACTGGATGGGGTTGGGGAGCAGAGCACTATGCTTGTTTGTATCTTTTAGATCTTTAAGCGTACTGTTTGGCGTTTGTTTTAGATCCTTAGCTTCTCGTTCTTTTTATACTTTACACTTTCCTATTTTTGGGTGTAACTTGGACCATGTCTTCATACTTTTGTTCCACCTCATGTACCACATGGGATGGTAATGACAATAATGTTTACTTTAACTTGGAAAACTAGCTAGTTTTGGTCTTCCAATTAGTGACTGGCATCTCTGGTTATAGGTTTCTGAAAAACGGTGACCCACAATAAGCAATGATTTGCCTTGTTTTATAATACATTTTGTTGGTCATTGTGTGTGAATTCTTGTTAATAGGTACCCAAGAACCAGCATCAACATACTTAAACATGAAGTGGAATGCTTCAATGGAAAATCTGAATAGTTTTCTCTGCAAACAGTTGTGCTGCTTCTGATGTGTCTAACGAGCCTCTTCTTTGGAAAACAATGGCTCAAACAGAGCGGAATGATTTTAATGGCTGTCATATATGAGAAATGAATGACCCCTGAGTCTGAACCCAAACACCAAAACAAAACTTTGAACTGACATGACACACATCCAATCTTTATCAATATTCTAACAGACTATCTGGTGTTTAACACCCCATGTAATTGCATCAGGTAAAAGAGTAAGGGCACATCAAGGCCAAGACAAGGAAATCAATTTATTCTTTGCTGCAGGAGCCAAATTATGCTTCAAATTCAGATTTATACAGGTCATAGATATGACAGCTGTCTATATTTTAATCTTGCGCCAGTTAAAGTTTGATTACAAGCATAGAAGAGAAAGGAGTCTGTGCTCCATTGGATTACCTTAAAATTATATTCTATTTCCTGATGCATGAAGTTCAATCTGGTCCTCTGGACATTCCAAAAAAAAAAAAAAGCAAAGCTTTTTTTTTTTTTTTTTTTAAATGTCCAGAGGACCAGATTTAACTTTTTTGGATATATTCTATTTTTTTAAACATAATACAAAACGTATGTACAGAAGAGGGGTAAAAGGATAGTGCTGAATCACGGTGACTAAAAAGAGAAATAAGAAGAAAGTGAACACAAAGAAGTGTAGAGCTTGTACCTGTTCCCTCTTTGTTTCCGTTTTGATGTGTCCGCAGCTCCTCTGATTTGAAGAAGTCGATGCTGGCGTACGTGTTGAGGCTCGAACAGTTGCTCCCACTGGCAGCTGCGCCAACTCCCCCAACTCCAGAACCTGCGCCTACTACGGAGAAGAGCCGTGACTGGGGCTGGCTGCCTGAGGACCCATCCAGGCCAGCGTGGGGACTCCCTTTGTTGACCAAGTCCAAGTCTATGTAGTTAAGACCTTGCTCTGTAGAAAAAGTCTGATTGTTTCCAGAGAGTGGCGATTGGGTGGAGGAATCGGTAACAGCACCGTTCCCCCACAACATGCTTTCAAATCCAAGGCGACGGGTTGCAGCCTGGGTATGTTCCGGAAAGAGGGAGGCAGTTGAAGAGGACGTAGAAGTAGAAGTGGGGAGGGAAGGTGAGGCAACAAAGGTTTCTGAGCAGTGCCGTCTGCGTCCTTGGGGGTCAGCGCGGATTACTTTAACCCATTGGTCGGGGTTAGGTCCTGATTTACACAATGGAAAATCTAGACCTCGTGACAACAATGAAACAGGTGGGTCCGTCCTGGTGGGAGATGGAACTTTGGGGGAGACACTGGGTGACGTTTGAGGAACAGTGTTATTGTTCAGGCTAAAGGCCATCTCTGTGTAGTCCCCGCAGGTTGTAGGAGACTTGGACTCGGTCACTGATGGAACACTTTCTCTGCTTTTTCTAAGAGGGGTCTCAGCCACTTCAGAACACCTTTCATGAAGACTAGTAGGACCCTCCTTTCCAATTTTAGGGGCATGAGCAAGAACTGGAGGTGTGGGAGGGGTGTGGAAAGGGGGAAAAACTAATGGGGTAAGGGAATGTGGTGAAGGAGACGGAGAAGGACCCAAGTCCATGTTGACATACTCAGAAGCAGATGGGGGAGTGACTGGGGTAGAAGGACTCTGGGAGAGGGGTACAAAGTTTCCTACACAGGAAGTTGTTCTGTTTTGAGGATGCTGACTACTTGAGCTTTGAGGCAGCAACAATCCATGCCTCAGGCCTCTGCCTCGCCCTACTCCAACTCCAGTATGGGAAAACTTCTCCCCCTTGAATTCAATGCTTACATATTCACCAGGGCTCTTAGGTTCTGGCGGTAGGGGGTTCTCACGGACCCTAGGAAGGGTGTTAGCCTTTGATACATCAACAAAGAGGCTCACTGGTCTGCTTCTAGTATGAATACCCTGCTTTGATAACCCATTAGAGCCCCGTCTCTGAGTGACCTTGCTCCCTTCTTTGGACTTAGATTCACTTGCCACATTACTCAATGCCTTAGTAGACCGATCCTCGGTTTCCCCGAGACTCTCATTGCTGGCTGAGCTGGAGGAGTATGAGGATGAGGAGAGTGACTGATGCCGTCCACCCAATGTGCTGCCTACTGGTTGATCCTGATGCCCTCCAATATTTCTTCGACCACCTGTTTCCCTGCAACTTCCATTGGGCCTCCGACCTCGTCCAGGTCCATCATCAAAGTGCCCAGTAGTGGGGTTATGCTTGTATGACCGAGGAAGGGAGTAGTAAGAATACACCATCTTTGGGGGTTGTTGCAAACTAGTTTCTAATTGGCAGATGTGCTCAGAAGATGGGGGACTGCTATTTACAGAAGGTGCACTAATTGGAGACATGTTCATATAATCACTGCCAGCCCTGCTGTCTGCACTGCCACTGCCTACCCAAGCACCTTCAGAGAGGCCTCCACGCTGGTCTGGCGAGCAGCTACTGTTGGGAGACATTATCATATAGCCATCAGAAACTGGCGGAGGTTTAATTTGCTGTGGGGGAGACACGCTGTTGTTAGGCGTCATGGCCATATAGTCATCAGCAGGCTTGGAGTCTAACTCAGGAACAGAGACAGCTAGTGATTGGGACAATGACACAGGAGGGTGAGTAATTCCTGGCAGCATGGACATGTACCCATTGTCCACCCCTACATCTATTCCACCAACTGCTCCTGCGCCACCTTCAGTTTTGATTTCCCCTGCAACATCTAAGTACCCTTCTCCCCCAACACCAGCACCCAAGGCCGATTCTCTTTGCATAGAAGAGCAGGGAGAAGTAAAGGATTCTCGGCTGGTGCTCCTTGACATTATAGCATAATCGGCAGAATCTTCATCTGCAGGCTCCTCAGCTCTGCGCTGACGTGGGGCTAGTCTTTCCAGAGCCATAGGCGGCAAAGATGCGCGCTTGCTCAGCAGCCTTCGTTCAGCTTCACATTCACGGCTGGAGGAGCGTCGAAGCACCCTTCTAGTCTGAGGCTGGGACCCGCTGGCTAGTGTTCCTGGAGAAGGCTGAGAAGTAGGCATTAAGCTCCCTTGATTGTTACTGCCACCAGCATTACCACCACGTTGGCTCATTAGGATATAGTTGGCTCCTTCCTCACTAATAGACTGGCTACCAATGCTGCCAGCGGAGCTTCCTGGGAGGCTCAGGGAGGGGAGAACTGTGTGATCTCCAGGACTGGAACCATATTCATCTGAGGAGCCGTAATCACTGGGTGAGCCTGAGACAGAGGTATGGTTAGAGGGCACACGACTGTATTTACCAGGCACTGGGACAGCACTGGCCGATGTTATACCTCCAAACTCAGAGCCGTGCCCAGAGCTGGACGATAGGCTTTGAGCAGGGGATGGCGCTGGCGTAGAAATGGAGCGCATCAATGTAAAAGAAGTTTTAGCGTTTGTGGATGGGGCTGAACGTGCTGACTTTGATCTGAGGATCGGGGTGGTAGAGCAAGACCCATTAGTGGAAGGACTTGAGTTCACACCATGAGTCGGAGTAGACCCTGCTATCCCGTCATCACCTCTTCCTCCATCACTGGCAGTGCGAGACCTTGGAAAGCTGTGCCTGGGTGTGGGAGATGCACTAGAACTGGCAACTGCTGCTCCACCAGGAGGCTCAGTTCGGGGCCGGCGGAGAAAGCCGACCTGACTGGGAGGAGGGTTGGGGTGGTGGCGGCGTGAGGGAACGCTGATAGGGTTAGAAGCAGTAGCCCCTCCACCAGGACCAGAATTTGATTGGGACTTGCTGCGCTGGCGGAACTCTTCGCTCAGTGCTTTCATGGCCTCCAGCAAAGTTTCATGCATGTTTTGGGCCACCACCGAATCATCCACCTAGGACATGACATGAACAATGAAGACAAATCGTAACTGCAACAACATTTTGTATTAGGTCAAAGTTCATGCTCAATAATGCAGGTAGAAAATACAACAAAGTTCAGTCCTTCATCCTTTAGATGAAGGACGAAACGTCTCAACAAAAAAAGAAACCGTCCAGATGACCTGACTGAACTTTGTTGTATTAGGGTTTGAGTTATAGCAAACCATTCTATTATAACCATTATATATATATATATAACCATATAACCATTATACAAACCGGATTCCAAAAAAGTTGGGACACTAAACAAATTGTGAATAAAAACTGAATGCAATGATGTGGAGGTGCCAACATCTAATATTTTATTCAGAATAGAACACAAATCACAGATCAAAAGTTTAAACAGAGAATGGATCATTTTAAGGGAAAAATCTGTTGTTTCCAAATTTCATGGTGTCAAAAAATCCCAAAAAAGTTGGGACAGGTCCATTTTTACCACTGTGTGGCATCCCCCCTTCTTACGACACTCAACAGACATCTGGGGACAGAGGAGACCAGTTTCTCAAGTTTAGAAATAGGAATGCTCTCCCATTCATGTCTAATACAGGCCTCTAACTGTTCAATCGTCTTGGGCCTTCTTTGTCGCACCTTCCTCTTTATGATGCGCCAAATGTTCTCTATAGGTGAAAGATCTGGACTGCAGGCTGGCCATTTCAGTACCCGGATCCTTCTCCTACGTAGCCATGGTGTTGTGATTGCTGCAGAACGTGGTCTGGCATTATCGTGTTGAAAAATGCAGGGTCTTCCCTGAAAGAGATGACATCTAGATGGAAGCATATGTTGTTCTAGAACCTGAACATAGTTCTCTGCATTAATGGTGCCTTTCCAGACATGCAAGCTGCCCATGCAACCCCATACCATCAGTGATGCAGGCTTCTGAACGGAGCGTTGATAACAACTTGGGCTATCCTTGTCCTCTCTGGTCCGGATGACATGGTGTCCCAGTGTTCCATAAAGAACTTCAAATCGTGACTCATCTGACCACAGAACAGTCTTCCATTTTGCCACACTCCATTTTAAATGACCCCTGGCCCAGTGCAAACGTCTGAGCTTGTGGAGCTTGTTTAGAAATGGCTTCCTCTTTGCACTGTAGAGTTTCAGCTAGCAACGGCAGATGGCACGGTGGATTGTGTTCACTGACAATGCTTTCTGGAAGTATTCCTGAGCCCTTTCTGTTATTTTCTTGACAGTGGCATTCCTGTTTGAGGTGCAGTGACGTTTAAGGGCCCAGAGATCACGAGCATCCAGTAGAGTTTTACGGCCTTGACCCTTATGCACAGCGACTGTTCCAGATTCTCTTAATCTTTTGATGATGTTATGCACGGTTGATGATGATAACTTAAAAGTCTTTGCTATTTGACGCTGGGTAACACCATTCTGGTATTGCTGCACTATCTTTCTGCGCAACAATGGTGGAATTGGTGATCCTCTTACCATCTTGGCTTCTGAGAGACACTGACACTCTGAGGAGCTCTTTTTATACCCAATTATGTTGTCAATTGACCCAATTAGTGTTAATTGGTCTTCCAGCTGATCTTTATATGGTCAATTTCCTTTTTCCAGCAACTTATTGCTACTTGTCCCAACTTTTTTGGAATTTGTTGACACTGTGAAATTTTGAATCAACATGTTTTTCCTTTAAAATGTTACATTTACTCAGATTAAATTTTTGATTTGTCATCTATGTTATATTACGAATAAAATATTGACATTTGCCATCTCCACATCATTGCATTCAGTTTTTATTCACAATTTGTTTAGTGTCCCAACTTTTTTGGAATCCGGTTTGTATTTCAAGAGAACTTAAAAGTTTGAAAAATTGACTATACGCATGTTAAACTGGTCATAAAGCCTTACACGAGAAAAGCTCACCTGCATCCAGAACTCGCCAGGGCCCGTCACCGCAGAGCGTCCCACTTCTACGAAAAAGAAGTTTTCAGAATGTCCGCAGCGCCTGACGTTCATCAGCTGCAGCACCACCGCGGCAGCATCAGAGTTCAGCTTCACAAAGTTGACCGTCTTCTCAGTGAGGCAAAGACGATATATGCCAACCAGGTTCTTCGCCTGACCGAGGCCTTTGGGCCAGACTTTCACCTGCCACACCTCTTTGAATGCAGGTCCAGGATTGGGTGCTCCATAGTCCCCTGCAGCGCTGGTGTCAGTGAGATTTTTACCTTTTAAAGACAGAACAGAAACAAATAGATGAACAAGCTATAAAGCTATTGCAACAAAGAACGATTATGACCTTCATGTACATACTAGAATCCACCTGGTGAAACCACCTCTATTTACCTGATATTTAAAGGCTAGGTGTCTTTAGTACGAGGTGAGCTTCTGCTGTGCTTTTAATTGATTTTTTTAAACCAGAGATGAAACCCAACATGCACCAGCTTGTGAATCAGTCTCAGTATACCTGTAGGCTTCACATTTGAAGTCCCATTTGTCAACCACACTGCCATCCCAACACACACACACATTTTAAACGATCTTCAAATGAAGCGCTACACAAAAATGATGACTGTGAGAGAAAAGCAACAGCCAAGGAAACATTTAAAGCAACCCAATTTGGAAAATACTTCACAAGGAAATCTTTACTGGAACCAAAGAAAACAATCGAAAATGACGGGGCCCTCAAAAAGTCCCTCTTTAAAACTCTTACTGGAGTGCCTCATGGGATTTCAGGACTTACAAATTGTTGTGTCTTGTAGCGGTAGTAGTACAGACAGTCCATTCAGCCTTTGTATGCAGCAGGCTTTTTTTTCAGACTGTACATGAATACCTGAGGCAACAACAAGGTGCAGAGAAAAGTCTGGGTGAGATCTGATCCTTGGGCCAAACAAAAGCAGGGGGTTCATTGAACCACTTTACGTTTTTAAATGCCTATTTTTTTGCGTCTAAAGTTAACACACTTGAGGAAAAACATGTTTCTATTTTCAGAGCGTCTCCTAAATCGGTCAGCCTTACTGAACTCATTTTTAGGACAGATTTGAACTCAGTTACCTACAAAATATCTCTAATATGTAGATGAAAATGGAAAACCATTACCTTTCTTTTAGTTTTGATTGGGTTATTATTTATCTTTTAGCAAACACCCTTAAAAAAATCTTAAACTTAACCCTCTACTCCAGTTTTCTGTCACATTTCTAGACCAGATATGTCTGAGCATGATAATAATCTACAACACAGGATGAATCAACGTCAGAAGTGAAGAGGGAAACCTCCACAAGGAGGCTCACCTGCTTCTTTCTTGGGAACAAGATGTTCTTTGTCCAATGTTGTTGAACTTGAGCACCTGCCTTATTAACTTCTGCTGCATCTGGCATATTAAAATGGTGTTGAAAACAAGTTGTTTCAGACAGTTGGGTTAGCAAAATGTCTAATGAACCACTGGACATATTTTAATGAAATTCTTAAAGTAATTATTGGATATAACTGATTTTCATTTTGAGTCAGTTCATTTATATTTAGTTCTAGAATTGTGCCGCTCAAGGTGGCTGCATGTTGGAGCAGCTCTGTTACTTTCATTTTGAGATTTTGCTGTTGGAAACTTTAATTCCTCTTTTTCTGGATGTAAATCACAATTTTTCGGAGGATTGTTTCCTCTGGTATCAGATGCTGTGCAGCTGGAAGGATTTTTACTGAAACTTTTTTTAGTTTTGGACATTTGTTATGATGCGTAACCATGGCAACAAGGCAGTTTTCTAGAACCAACAGCAGCTGATTAACATCTCAAAAGCTCAAATAATATCTCAACTACAGCCCCAAATCTCAAATGAGTTGAAAAGGATGTTCTGTGGACGCATTCTCATCTACCTGCCAGCTGTGCTCGAGTGCCTGACCACTGAGATCCTGGAACTAGCAGGAAACATGGATCATGACAGTGGAAGGACAGGATCGTCCCTCGGCACCTACAGTTGGCTGTTTGCAGCGACGAGGAGCTCGGCAGACTGCTGGGAGGAGTGGCCATCACTCTGGGAGGAGTTCTGCCTGGCATTTGGGCAGTCCTACAACCCGAGGGGAACCGAGAGGTCAGCCGAGTCTGAGTGGACGGATCGGACAGCATCTGCAGCCAGTTTCTTAGGATCCACTGTGGATGGACCTTTACAAGAGATCCTTCCTGCCTACAGCCATCAGCATCTATAACATCTCTTAATGAAACGAGGATATCAAGTTACAACAACAAATAATTTCCCTCTGGGATTAATAAAGTATTTTTGAATTGAATTGAATTTGAATTATAAATGGCTCCCACAGCGAATTGGTCTTCTTAGCCAACACAACTTACCGTATTTTTCGGCCTAAAAGTCGCAGTTTTTTTGCATAATTTACATGCCCTGCAACTTATATACAGAATCAACTTATTTATGTTTTTTCCTCCATATTTATAAACCAATTTTTGGCTGAGATATGACCGATTTCATTCATTCTGACACTGAAAACATTGAACATTACCATTTTCATCCACTAGATGGCACTTGAGTAGTATGGCATGCTGTTGTGTCATGTAAGGTAAAAGTGGATATTAATGACATAATCGGCTTGCCAAAGAAGCCACCTTCGTCTAGCTCCAGGATCATGCCCGGAGCAACCGTCAAATCAGCTGTATTTCGCTGCCCCTCCCCGGCAAAATGCAGCTGATTTGACAGTGCATTTATTAAGCAAAAGTTCAACTAAGACACACATTTACTATAATGTTGAGCAAACAAATAATTATTTTAGGTGCTTATCTTGTTAAATTTCAAAGAAATGGACAGCGAGTCGTCCCTCTGCACGCTCCTGCTTCCGCGAATCGGCTTTTGAAAATGCAGCTGATTTGACCGTTAAAGTGCATTTATTAAAGAAAAGTTCAACTGAGACACACCTTTACTATAATGCTGAGCAAACAAATAATTGTTTTTAAGTGTTAATCTTGTTAAAAGTCCTCCTGTGCACGCGCTCCCATGGCTGCCATTTAGCAACCCATCGATTTTTGGCTCAACACCGGCTCACATTTACGTGTTGTTAGCGGTGACGAATAATAGATGCGACGTATAAGGTGAAGTGACATATTGATGTTTTTTCCCACTTTAATAGACATATTTGGACTGATGCGACTTATGCAGCAGAAAGTACGGTAAACTCAGTCAATTTCTTATATACGAAGCTAAAACTGGATGTGGTAGTAGCTGAGAGTCATGCACAGCGCATGCTTTGAGTGTGACATCGTGCAAAATTGTGAGGCGTCGCGTTATTTCTAAGGTCTGACCAAAAATGTCTACAACTGCATTTCTCAGTTTCAGATGATTTCCATCTAAAACTCGGAGCCTTTAATTTCAAACAGTTTCAGTGGCACTTTGTAGATTTCATGAAACCATAAAAACGTCTCGCCACAGCTGAACCATTATAAACACACGCTTCTGTGTCTGCGTACGTTTGCTCTTCCTTTTCTCGTGTCTCTGCTGCAAATCCTACGACGACAGCAACCGTGAGCGGACACTGCGGTCGCCACCGTGCCAAACACATTCACAAATCCTCGTCCCTAAAACTCGCAACAGTAAAGCCGTCTGCTTCCTCTAAAACTGGAAGCTCGCACACAACTTGAAACAGACCCAGAATAGATTGTTTGTGGAAAGCCTGTCGAGGCTGCGGCTTACAGGCTGAGGAACGGGGCACTCTCCCCTGCATTAGATGAGTCACTCAAGGCCATGCATGGCTGTTTTTCACGCTTCACGCATGAAGCCCTGCTCGCTTCCTTGAGTCAGATTTGCAACAGGAAGAGGCGGTTAGGGGACTTCTCTGTGGAGACCAAAGAAATAAGGGACTGTATAAGATTGTAGTGATAACAGAAACAGAAATTACCCTTTACAAGAAAACTACTTCCAGAAATCCATGTTACTCTTAAACGCGAACACTCTAGATGTTGTGGAGTTCCCCGTTAGCTCAAAACTGATCAATACCACCCTAAAAAGCCCTTTCAGAGGACATGCTAGAATAATTTCAAGGTGTAGCCCGATGCACCCCTGGCAAACATCACAAACATTTGCTCCTAGTTACGTAAAGGTTGGTGCAGTTCCAACGCAGAGCAGAATGAATTATAGATCGCCCCTGGCCTTCCTCTGGGCTTGTTTTATACCGATGCAGCGCTCATTTGGGAAGGAATCACCTGAGAAAGCTGCGCGCAGTACGACACCACCTCTATCGAAAACGAAAAACATAAGAGAAGCATAATGAACCCTCGGAAAAACAACCACGCAGACACGACTCTTAGCCGGAGATCCAAGTTAATGCGTGCGAAAACCAAACACACCTGTACGCTAATGGAGGATCCGGGCAGGTAGTCGAGTGAGGGCAAAAATCACTCGGGCGACCTCGGTGCACTCTGGAGGAACGCCTACTCGAGTTTTAGCATCAGATTTAGCGAGCTAAAAACAACCAACACTGGCAGATTCATGCACCAGGTGTTTACTCCAGTTTGGGCATCGCCACACATGAATATGGCAGTAACACGTCGAGAACGGCAGCCCACTCTGGGAACACTGGTGTCCATTCAGAGCAATGTATTTGCCACGCTGGCTCCCTTGAGATGGGCTGCATAAAATGGGGTACTTGCAGATTTCTCCACATTTATACGTTTACTGTAGTAATATGTTGCACAATTCTTAAAACAGCACGCTCCAATTTCACCTTCTAGTCCCATAAGACCAGATGCTACAGTGCTGTAAGGAACCACGTTCAGGTTTTGTGGTAGTAAAATGTCACTTTTGTTCTTGTTCTCCACAGAGCAGAACAGAATTTTGGTATTTTCCCCACAGATTTAATTTAAGTTTTCTTGTAGTTTGAGCTCAACTGGATCATTTTAACGCCAAAAAATGTGTTAAAATGTGGACGCTGATTCAGCTTTTACACAATAGATTTCCTGTTTTTGATATTTCGGTGCGTGTTTTTTGTAATCCGACTACTTTGTGCCATTTTAGCAATTCTTACATCATAATGTTCAGTTCATTCAGGAAGGAGGTGGGTGCTGGGACTTTTGGTTCTTGTAACTTTTATACTGTTCAAAATATTTTACGTTTTCTGCAAGTATTTTCTGTATGGATATACAGTACATTAAGATCTCTAATTCTTTAGTTCTTGTTGAAATCTAACTAACCCTCCTGCTGCCCTTGGATCAAAATGACTCATGAGGTCTTACTTT